TGCGGCGGAAGGAAAGAAGGTTTCGTATGAAAACCGTATGCATTAATCTAACTGTGCTGTCTATGCATCTGAGTTTATCCCACGAGCGACTAACATTTAAAAACACAATCAATCATCCATAGGTTCACCCACCGCTCCACGGGTATTTGTCAGTAAATGGATGGACTATTCGAATAAATATGGGTTAGGATATCAATTGACAGATGGGTCGGTTGGTGTTTATTTTAATGACAAGACTACCTTGGTAATGTCACCCGACGGAATGTGAGTGGAAGACAAAATGCACATTATCCATTCACAACCTTGGTCTAAATGAATAATAACCTCATTCTCTCATCAGACATTTCGAATATGTCTATAACCTTCGCAATTCCGACAATTCTGTATCATCAAGGCGTAGCTTTTACACTGTAAATGAGCACCCGAAGGATCTGCATAAGAAATTATATTTGTTGAAGAATTTCCGCAGATATATGAACGAGTCTATTGTAAAGAACAATTCTTACACCTTTGTCGACGTCGAAAGGACCCATAACATGGAGTTCGTGACGAAATTCAAACGGACACCGCATGCGATCCTATTTAGATTAAGTAATCGTCTGATACAGGTTAGTCTTAAAATATTGCAAGGCACCAGGATTTTTTTTTTGTTTTTTGGTGATACGAAATCTCTCGTTTCACATGCATGACATTCAAGGTAAATTTCTTTGATCATGAGAAAATTGTATTGTCGGACGAAGGACGAGTTATAACCCATATCAACGAAGAGAGCGGAATCAATACCTATGCCGTCTCCGAAGTACTAGGTGGAAATCACTCGACTATAATGGCTCGACTAAAGTATGTGAGAGACGTTTTAAAGAAAATCGTAGAAGCTGGTCATAAGAATGTCGACAAATAAGCATCCTTCAACGCAAATATGCATTTGCGGATGGCTGCGACTTGGGGTATCAAGGAAGATAACATTGGGTCGGGCGAAATCGTTAAAAATTTTTTTCTTCATATTCTTAAAATATTTAGTATTATATTATAGTTTCATCTCCATATTTTCGATAATTTCTTCAAGTCCCTTTAAATTTACTCCGTTTTCCGTAAACTGTCGTAATTTAACGGCCCCATATTAAATTATTTTGATTCAAATAAAGGTTTTTTTTTTTTTGGTTAATTAAATAAAGGCTGCCAATCGGTACAGCTGTTACGTTATTTCCGTCAAAAATAATTGGGCGGTTCGATGAAGTATTTGGAATTTTTTATAAGACGAGATGTCGATCCGATTCTTCACTGGTTCAACATCTAATTCGACCAATCAGATAGTCAGTCTCAGCAACTGACAAATAGACGTAAACCACGCAAAAAGCTAAGCTTTCTTAAATACTACGCGGAAAAATGTCGGACACCGAAGAGATTGCGAATGTACCTGATGACGGTAATTTACTCAGCTCATTGCCTGTCACTCACCAAAGTTCGCGAAACGTGTGATTAATTTTCAGATTTTATATAATAATAAGTTAGTTA